CGTTTTAAAATAAAGTTGGTTACGTTGGTTACTTGTTGTTCAATTGAATTTTTTTCTAACTAATTTTGATATTTTTTTTATATTACTCAACATTACCCCCTAGCATTTGCCCATTTAGAACAAACCCCCCTCTCCCCCCCCCCAACTTAACGTGTTCAGGTGGGGGTGGGGGTATTCGGGTTGGGGGGTATGTGGGTTCAGGTGGGGGGGGGGGGAGCAAAGGGGCAAACGTTAGGGGGATTGAAGGGGAGCAAAGGGGCAAACGTTAGGGGGATTGAAGGGGAGCAAAGGGGCAAACGTTGAGGGGGGGGGGGGGGGGGATAGCTCAACGGAATCTTTTTGCAATTTGAGTTTAGGTTTTGAAATGCCTTAGGTCAGGCCGTGCACTCGCTTTGCAAAGTTTCCGGATCACTCACTTGATAAATGCTGAAATTCTTGCAAAATTTTGCACGACGCGCAAAACAAAAATAAAGTGGAAAAAAGTCCATTTTAATGTGATTTCCTACTTATTATAAAATCCATTATAATGGATTCATAATGAATTATAATGCATTTTTTTTGCCGAGAAAAAATGGATTTAAATCCATGGCTTCCTTTTCTCCCACCTGCAAAAATTTTACATGTAAATTTGTTGACCACATTGTCCGATTGTTATGAAAATTTACACACATTCTAAGAAGGCCACGACAAACAAATTTGGTCTTCATAATCAACCTCGTAAAATCCTTCGTTACACTAATATATTGAAGCTCGTGTGAGGTGGAGGGGGGGGGGGGTAGGAAAAAAGAGCCAAATCCATTTTTTGTCCAATTTTGTTGTCTGAACGTAACACGGGAATCGATTATATTTACAACATTATAGACCACGAAAATCAATTATAATCGATTCGTTTTCACTTTTCTTAAATGCGGGTAATAACTTTGAAAGATAATTATGTATAATGCATGCAATTCCAAAAAAACATAAAAATGAGTTTCACAATTTTTGTGGTATTCAAATTGAATGTTGTGTATTCCCTAATCAGGATCTCTTTAAACTATCCCCCATGAGAATTTTGTACCTAGTAACGAATCTTCCCCGTTTGCAATGGGGGAGTTAAACAGGTTCTCTAATTTAATGTATCTTCGAATAATTTTAACGGATTTAACTGTCTATTTTGTTTAAATCTAAGCTATACTCAATGTTTTGAAAAACTCGGTTGCATGTCAGTATTTAGACAACCTCGTATTCAGACTGGTCAGTATTTAGACAAATGCTGTTTCAACCAATCAGAATCGAGACAAAGAAGAAATTAATAAATAATTATTATTTATTTTGGATTATTTATGTTTTTTTCTCGATTCTGATTGGTTCATACAGTATTTGTCTAAATACTGACCAGTATGAATACGCGGCTGTCTAAATACTGGCTGCACTCCGAAAAACTCATACCTTCTCCCCCCTTAAATCGGTGCGTATTCATAGGCTCCAAAATAAAAAATCAGTCCCATAGATTCCAAAATAAAAAACCAGTCGCATAAGTTCGAAATCTTTTCAATTGGTCGAAAGACTAAATTAGCCGAGTCTCGGTTTAAGGTCGCCGGTGGGCGCGTCGCGGCGATAACCGGCTCTAAATTTCGTATAGAGTCCTACCCTTTGGTGGCAAGCTCGCAACACGTTGGCGCGGCTGCGGCGGTCACTATTCTGCAGCTTTAGTTTATGCTGGTTGAACAGTAAAACAATCAATCCATAAATTCGTTGGCTCAAATTTCCACCAATCAGAATTCAAGAAGATAAATTTTGGAACTTATGCGACTGATTTTTTATTTTGGAACCTATGAATATTGGAACCTATGGGAATTCACCCTTAAATCAGTTTGAGGAAGTATGTTGTACAGTTAACCAAAATTAAAAATTATTAATCACAGTTTATTCAATCATTTCCAAATTTGAGCAAGAATTTGAGCAACAGAGTTCGGTTAAAGCCATTGAATGTCTGGGTGTGACTGCTCACTATTTATGTTGGGGTGTTTTATTCATTCCGCTCAAAATAACCTATAAGCACATCAGTAAAAATTTTACGCCTTTTTTCACACTAAGTATGCATAAGTTCTATTATTTCGACCAATCAAACTGAATCGATATAATTTGTGCTCTCATAACTGTGAGATTTACAAATCTGGGCGGAATAAGTAACACGACCCAGATTATAATTTGTTTCTCGAGATCAACCGTACAATCTCCACCCCCTCCTCTTACATGATATATCGTAGAACATTCCCCCCCCCCAAGTAGGAAAATATCCTTATTCTGAAACTGCTTTTCAGGGCAGGTCGAAAGTTAAGTCATTACAATTGAAATTTTTCATTGCAATTAATTGATTGCCATTCGTGACCAATTACAGGTAGTTGATTGCGCTCTAACAAATGATTAAAATTAATTTTATTGAACAGTTCTTCCAAAATGAATCAGATTCGCAATTTCTACTTCCGACTTCAAATTTGCCTGAAAGAATAGAACAGAAAATATATATAGGTTGTCATGAAAAATTTTGATTTAAAAATTCTATTTAAAAATTTTTCGCTTTTTATACAATCCGGAACGAAGCATGAATTTTATGCTTCCCTAGAAACGACCCAAATTAAGTCACTAATCCGATAAAAAATCAAGTCGAATAAATTTTTAAGCGAAAAAAGTTAGCAAACATACGAAGTCAAGGCCAGTAAAATTAAAAATTGCAGGAGTAATTCGAAACACTTAAAACAACTACATTGAAAACTGCCAATTAGAAAAATCAATTCTACGTTAGGGCAAATAAACTGACAAAACATAGGCAGACAAATAATAGGCTGACATTTTTTGGAAAGGAAAATATCCAATTCGAAAAACATCAATTCCTGGTCAGACGCGAACCCATAGGACCTTTGCCGTCGCAGGCATATTCTTCATCTCCAGGCTAAGTGCCGCTAACTCATAAAAATTTAAATTCATTGAGGTCTAAGATACAAATGATTCAAGTGATTCAGTTAAACTGTTGTTAACCCGAAAAAAGTTTTTATTCCAATTCGATAACGCTGACTAATCGCAAGCGTAAAAAATTAAAAGGAATAATTTTATCTTTAAAAAAAAAGCAGACACAAAATAATTCATGAGTTAAGACAATACCAACAAGCCGAAAAACAAGGTCTGGACAAGACCTAAATTCCGACTTTTCGAACTTCAAACAGGCGCTTTCCCACTACACTAAGGAGGCAGCTATAGAAAAATGTTTTACCATTAAGCAAGATCAATTTTCTATATATTGGTGAAAAAAAGTTGTTAACGGGAAAAAAATATAGTTCACGATTAGAAGACACAAACTCTCACAAGGGTAAAGAAGAACATGAACAAACGTTTTCATCCTTCCAAAACACAATCTAAGTTGACACGTTTAAATAAAGCCAAATGATAGAAGCAATACAAGTCAATAACTATTGAATTATTTTCTAAGAAATTTCATCCGTCGAATTTCCGAGGAAAAAACATCACCAAATTCATGAATTTTTTTTATTGAAAAACTTTTCATTAAAGTAGCCCTACTTGAGAAAACTGATCAATCGGTAACGTTTTGTTCCACTGGCAAGTATAAAAATTTAAAACCTTTTCTGAAACATTCATTCACGTTTCACTGCACCATTTCCGCTTTCGTATTTGCATATCGAAACTTGCTTTCCTTTAGGGAAAAAAATTTGAATTGAGCTCAAAAATTAATCAGCCAAGCCGCAAACAATCAAATTCGAGCATAAGCAGCTATAAAATTAGTCTGATCCATTTAAGTGATTTCTCTTCTTTCATTGTCACTTAAAATTTATTTGATTAACAAAAGATATCTCAAAATCAACGCTTAGGGCAAAGTTAGTTTCTCAAAAAGGCAGAGCCTTAGGATATTAAGTTATGCAGCGCCTATCGATATTATGAGTAAACATATAAATGAAAAAACGCATGAACAGGCAACTAATTTTTGTCGAAGTATGTTAGCAAGAAAATTCGGCCAAGACGCAGCTGAAAAAATCATTAACGCACTCAGGGCTTTCAATAAGCTTTTCAATTTTTTGATTTCGAAGGAGTTACAGAACGCCTAAATTGAGACTGGACCAAAAGGTACAGTGTTAATTCCTCTGAGAAGTAATTTAATTGAAATTAACTTTGAGGCTGCGAGCTCTCAGCTCTTTTGCCGGCGTTATTTCTAATTAACTTTCAATAAAATAATTAATCGGCTGGTTCAACATCGATCTGGACAATCATTTTACTTAAGAAAATCATTTTTTTTCTAAAATCGTTTTGATTTAGCAATAACAACTAATCAGAACCTTCTGTGCTCTTTGCACCGCAATCAGCTATCCTTAAATTATAAGCTATTAGCTGTAAGGCAAAATTCAGACCCTTTTGCGATTTCGCGAGGAAAGGAAATTTTTTATTACCACCATTGGTTATTATCAGCTCCATAATTTATGATCAAACTGTATAGCCGCGCAGTTTTTTTTAGAATGCCGATAAAACTTAATAATAATAATTGTAGATCCTGCGACTCGCAGAGGAGCTATCAGTAGGCCTTAACAGTCCTGTCGTGGATAGTCCATTTGTATTATCTCCCCACATTCCAGACAGTGTTATTTTGCTGAGCGAAGCTGTTGTTTTTGCGACTCAAGGCCGTTTTTTGGCGTCTAGAACTTTTACGTGGTGCCACTATTGCAGCCAAATTTGGTGAGGTTGTGGTAGACCTGAAGCTGGAGGTCAAATGAGAGCTTGTTCTCACACAATATCATTGCCATGGCATGGGATCGAATACACGATCTGACGATTTCAAAGTGAACGCCTTACCACTGTGCTAAGTGCCTCTAGAGCTAAAACTTGTCAACATGAGCTAAACGGTGGCGTGCCCGAAACTTTCAACTGGACAAATTTCAGGCAAAATGATGTTTCAGGAATTTAACAGTCTTTTTTTGGACGAGTAAAATAAATTACTGAATGAGCTCTTTTAGAATCAGAATCAGTGTGCGACAGGGAAATTGGTCGAGCGGTTAACTGCGAGGTGTGTTTCAACTGCTAGAGGCTTGAGATGTTAGTACGCCGTAGTAACACAATTCCGCTGCCCTTTGTTGCCTGTAAGAGTCCAACCGACTGCCCCTTCAGCATCAGCTGCAATGAGCATAGCGACTCTTGTGACTGCAGCGACATCCTCAACATGCAAGTGGGAGACCTGAAGAGGAACTGCAGCATGGCATTTGAGCCACAGTGTCCAGTTGGAACGTTCGGAGTGTTCTGCGAGTATAAGGTCAGTCTGCTGGGCTCTTTAAAATCTCACAAAACTCAGCTCTGTTGAAATAACCCTGACATGACATGAAACGCTAATTATTACCGCTTGGCAATCAAGCTCACGGAAGTTAGAACAAACTTCGTCAGTTGCAGTTTAATTAACAATTTCTTACGATAGTATATTTATCTCGAAAATAATTTTCACCCATGTCAACGACTCTTTTTTATTTGGATTGTATATGCATAAATTTTTAATAAACGTTTAAAATCATAAACGTTTAAAATAGTTTTGTTATGAGATAACTGTGGTTTCCTCTTTTATGAGCCCTACAATTATTAAAACTGTATATGAGCTATTTCAACCAATCAGAATCAAGTAATATGATCCAATTATCACAATAGAAAAACTTGGGCCGTATGACGAGAAGACTCGAAAATTGTAAATTGAAGCAATTTTGGCTATTCTCTAATTTTTGAAAAAACTTAATGCCATTTTTTGGTTATTTTTTGGGATGGGTTAAGTTGCCCTAACGTCAAGCAACGAGCAGCACAGACCATGGTGGGCCTTCGAACCTTCGAATTTTTGATTGACGGATACTACGCCACTTCACCGCCGAATCATTCAGGCTTTTGCTATAATACGAGCAGACCTGTTCATTTTTTAACATATAAACAGAACAATTGCAACAGGAAGCGAAACGAATCATATTCAACGTAAGCAAAAAAATTCAAAAACGGCGACTAAGCTGTCTTTTGGCCAAACAAGCGAGAAAATCGTTAATTGAAAGTTGCATCAGATAATTCGATCCGAATCAATTGCTTTGAAAACACAATTTTGAGAAAATATTCCGACAGAAATTTTAACCCCGACCTACCGCTCTTGAATTTCATTTTAATTATCACAAATCAAAGGCAGAAAATAAAGTCTTACACAGTAGTGAAGCTGAACTTCACACCACTAACGATACAAATGAAGAAACCCGCTATATCGGAAAAATAAAAACAAAAAGTGTCGGCAAAACCAGATCGATCAAAATGAATAAGGCTAAGTTTAAAACAAAAAGATGCTCAGACAAAAAAATGTAAGTAAGTATCGAAAGAAAACTTACCAAGCGGTTGCAAGGCTGAAAGTACCTCGGCAGAAACCATTTTAAAAAGAAAAAGTTATTAAGACTCCAGACTTATAAAAAGATCCCTTCCTCCTCAAAACCTATAAGCCCCCTCCTCCTCAAGAACACAGACAAAAAACTTCATTTAATTGTCAAATGAAACAAAATGAAGCCACTAAGCCGATGTAATGTAGGCGAAACCTATTAAGTATAATACAAGACGAAAAAAATCGAAAAATTAAGACTAATAAAGAGCTATTGTTTTCCCCGCCCTCAAAACAGAGACAGACACCCACACTTTTTTCGCTCGTTGGAAGACCCAATAACGCCCATAAGTTGAAATCTACCAAGCGGAAAAAAGCTGGAAAAAATTATTGTCAGTGAGATCCAGAGGTGAGCAATAAAATTATGTTTCCCTGAAAACTACTCGAAATTAGGTCACTAATCTGATCAAAAAAATAAACTGAAAATATTTGGGGCAGAAAAAAGTTTTTAAGCAAAAAAGGAAAATATACGAAGTCAAGGTTAGTAAAATTATAACAGCAGAAATAAATCAAAAGATTCAAAAGAACTACTATGTTAATTGTAAATATATAAAATTCTACGAGGTGGCAATTAAGCCGACAGAACAAAAAAAGAGACATATAATCAGCCTTATTTCCTGTTTAAAAAAACAGTTCCGATCAGATTGGAACACAGGACTTTTGCCGTCCCAGGCGCATTCGTTACCTCCGGGCTGAAGGTGCTGGGAACACTGAGAAATTTATTTAAAAAAGTATGAGCCGAACTTAAATTTACCGCTTCGAATTTTGACCATTCTGTGAACAAAGTTATTTACAGGAAAAACGTACCCGATTGCAATAGCCTTGATGGCTTGAATGACTTAGCTAATCAGTGATTTTCCATATACCCTTAAGAAGCTTACATGTGCCAAGCTCGATTGCTTCCGCAAAAGAAGTAGCTTACTTGCCAGAACCATAGCTACACCTACAATTGGCTTTTGATTTTATATAAAAGAAAAACTTGCAGCTAATATTAGTTTGTTTAAATTTTTTTTATTTTTGGGGAGAACAATTTTGTCAGTGCCACAGGATTGTTTTGCCAACTTTTTTCTGAGCAGATGAAACGAGATTTCTCGAAGTGATCACTCATAGCTTGAAATATGTAAAAGCAATACATTTAATCGCTTCATGCAGAAGCAAAACTTTGCAAAAAAAAACGAAAAACGGCAAAGGAGCCTTGAAAAACGGCAAAAAAGAAAATTTTTTAGAATATGCTGTGAAACTAAATCAATTTTCAACACACAGGCGATGCTCAGAAACGAACATGACCAAAAACAGCTCGATCAAGTGACATAAGAAAAAGTAGAAATAAGCCTCGAACTTGCAAAACTTGAGGCCTAGCAAAAACGCGAATTAGCAAAAATCTGCGATCTAGCACATTTGAGTCTCATGCACTAACCATTCAGCCACGGATGCTTAAAGATTACCAAAAACTAGCCACCAGTAGTGCAGCTACATATGCTAATAAATTGCCAATTCGATGCAGCAAAAGTAGCACGAAATACAGAGATACATTTTTTCATGTAATAAAAAATTGCAAATCATGAAGCCACATTATGTATAAATTATGCATTTCAAAAACTTGCTCGATATATTGAGTTAGAAAATTTCTGAAGTCGAGATTTTATTTTTGTTATGTTGTTTGAAACAAATAGCTTTTTTCGGTTCACTTGATGAATTAAAAATGCGTCAACTGCGTAAACTCAGAACTATTCGTTGTCAAAGCACATGTTATCAATAAGCTGTAAAGGTGCAACAAAAAAGCTGTTATTGCCAATTCGATGCAGCAAATATTTGCGACTTAGGTTGGAAAAAAAGTTCGTACTATAGCACTATGCTTCGCAAGTGTAAATATCACAAAAAAAATTCCGGTTGCTTTCCCAGTAGAACAAAATTTCTCTTAATTTTTTTTTTGAAAAGCAAATTGCTATTAATTTTTTAAACTTGTTTCGTTTTTTTTACTAATGAGAGAGACCAAAAATAATCTTCAAAACCATTTTTTTTTCAATGCTAAAAATATGATTTTTGACAGCTTCGGCCAGTTTTTTTGGCACATCTCGAAAATTTTATTTGCTCTTAATTGGTTGAGAAGCCAAACTTTTCAAACAGTTTTTATCGAAAGTGATTTTAACATAGATTTTAATATAGAAGCAAGGAAAATGCAAAAAAGACCTCAAAACAGTAAAACAAAGTGTAATAAGGAAAATTTTAAAAACCAACCTTGAAAAAAACTTTAGTGAGACTAGGAGTAATCTGTTCTCGCATCTGCTCCACGACCACTTGCAGTTTACTAACACTGGCCAAAAAAGCAGCTACAGTTTTTATCAAATTGCCAATTTTATGCAGCAAAAATTCGACGAAAAAAATAAAACTATTCAAATGTTCCAGATTTGAATATCCGACCTGCTGATTAGAAATCTCACGTCCTCGCATCTGCGCCACGAACTTTGGAAAAAAACTAGTGACTCAACTAATGCTGGATCTACCTGTTGTAAAGTTTTTAATCATATTTTTGTGATGATGCGGAAATTTTTAATTTTCATATTGTCAAAAAATGGAGACTGTTCCCATGCTTTCGTATAGAAAAGTTGTGGCATATCGGAAAAGTCAAATTTTCGAGCAATTTTCTGAACTGTTTCTTTTTTTTCTGAAAACTACCCAGCCAAATCTGAGATACAGATTTCAACTGAAAGAGCGAGTAGTAGTTTTTACTTTTAAGTAAGCAACTAATTCCCTACTTGAGCAGACAAACAAAAGGGTTTAGCGAATACCCTTTTGTTTGTCTGCTCAAGTAGGGAATTAGTTGCTTACTTAGAAGTAAAAATTACTACTCGTTTTTTCAGTTGAAATCTGTATCTCAGATTTGGCTGGGTAGTTTTCAGAAAAAAAGAAACAGTTCAGAAAATCGCTCGAAAATGTGACTTTTCCGATTATGCGACAACTTTTCTATACGAAAGCATGGGAACAGTCTCTGCTTTTCACACTCTGACTCTTAGCTTGAAGATTTCCGCCCCTGATTTTTTAGATTAAACACTGAATACTAAGTCTATATCAGATTTTCTACAAAAAATCAGTGTAAAAAGAGTACGTAGTGAAAGTATAAACACTATGTTAGTTTTAATGAACTATTAACCAGAATCAGAATGTTAGTTTCTGAATAAAAAAGTAGCTTTCCGAAAAAACGGGCGAAAATTCAAAATTTTGACATTTTCTATCGTCACATTATTTTCAAAACACAGTGCATAGCCGCTTGCGCAGGTTAAAATTACATACTTGTTTTTTGTTCTTACACTTAAGCCCTTAGTCTCCATTTGGCCGGGTAGCTCACCAAAATGTCAAAAAAAGTCTTCTTTGAGGCCATTACTTTTTTCTACCGAGCTTACGGAATCGCAGCTTGAGATCCCCATAATTTTTTCTTTTGCTTGAAACCATCTCAGATTTGTGGATTTAAGATTTGAGAAAAAGAAAAACTCAAAAACAAGCAGGACAAAAATTCCCCTACTGAAACTTTCGAAGGCCGTCGAACAAGAGGTAAAATGAAAAGATACCAGTGAAATATGCAGGCACATAGAAGAAGAGACGGTTTTTCCATTGAAACAAACTTTTTTTGAAAATCAGTTAAGTCGTTTTTGAGAAAAATTGAAATTTCTGCGAAAAGTGCAATAATTTTCCAAAACGTCGCACAAAAAACGAAAAACAAGAAATTCCATACATTTTCCCAATACAGGTTTTTTCAAACAGGACCTAACACTAGCCAAAAAAAGCAGCAACTCATGCCATTGAATTGTTTGTTTAATTAAGCTGAAATATGATTAAATTAAAATATACCAAAGGGCCACCAAATGAGCATTTTTATTTGCGACTTAGCTTAGAAAAAAATTCATCGTAATAACATAACACAATACGCTTCGCTTGTGTAAATATCAATTGAATCACGAATGAAAGCTGTTTGTATGACATAAGACAAAACCCCATCTACGTATAATTAAAGGTATAATTTTTTCTGAAATTAAACTCATCAGAGAAGCGAAGCAGCATATTGCACAAGCGGAAAACGGACGGAGCTTGAGGATCCAAGAAAATACTAAAATGAATAAATCAGCCTTGAAAGATAAGGCAAAACTGAGCTCTACAGGATTCAAACCGGACCTCTATATTAAGTCTTATGCCCAGACCACTCAGCTAAATGCGCTTCAGGCTTCCAAACACTAGCAATCCATAAACCGGACAGATAGAACACGTGCTTTTAAGTTGCTATGCTATGCATGCTTCAAAATTGCCACGAAACGCGAGCACTAATGCACATTAGTTGGGTTAGAAAAAAAGCGGGTTCGTATTATCGTCAATTGTCCGGAATTTACATTCCACATATCTTTGTGGAACCTGGCCTTCCTCCGTGAGGCATTCGGGTTTTCCTTTCTGGCAAATATATCCTAAAAATAAATTTTAATGTCTTCCGGGATCTGGTAGCTCTTGATCACAATTTTGTACAAATTCTCAAAATGAAGTGGTGGTGCAAAATCAAGCGCAGCCAAGAGGCGTATGGACAAAGTGAAATCTTTGTTCTCCCGATATTGAACGGCATAACCGAGTTCAAGGATCTTTCTGTAGATAGCCTGAGAAAAGCTAAAGAAGCACCCCTTTATTTCGGTTTCTGGGAAATTGTCCTCCACGGAGTTTATCGAAGCCATTTCAAAGTCCATCATAACAGAAACTGGTGATTTTACATCTGATTTTAGATTGGACCAGATTGCATTGTATGTGTCTTGACGCTCATCCGGAAGAAGTGCGTAAATGCAGGGGAAAGTTGTGCCGCCATCAAAACAATGCACTGTGATAACCTGGCAGAAGTTTTCCGGGCAGCTCTTAAACGTTCCATCGATGCACCAGTGTCCATAACTGTTGAGAACATCAATACGTTTGCTCGTGGTAAAAACCAAATATCGCATTTCGGTTCCCGGAACCACTGAATCTTCTAAGAAAGTCTTCTTCATTTAGTGTCTGCATATACTTTACTGGTAGCTCAAAATCCAGACCAGTTGGGATGGGTGGGTGGCATCTGTTTTCATGGCGAATGCGTCTCATTCTCCTTTTGATGTTGGGGACTCCAGGCATCTTCGAGGAACATTCAGGTGTCGCGTGTACTAATGCTGAAGAAAGTATTTTCTGCGTGGAGGTGTCTGTGCATGCTGCCGCATCCTCTTTGATTTTGGCATAGATTGCATATATCAAATCAAAGCGTAATCGGGTCCGTGCATATGTTCATAAGTTGACGATTTCACAAACGCATACTCTCCCTTCGATGTCCAAATACTGTCTTTGTATTGCTGCTTTGATCGCCTTAGTTGACATTCCCGTTGAACTGAGTTGATTAACTCTCGTTTTTTTTAGTATGCGTAATTGTTGTATATGTCCTTTTATCCCCCTTTGTTACTCAAAAGAAAACTAACTTTATTGTTCTGCATTGTAATTGGAATGTTAACTATTGGTTTTTAACAAATTGCACGTGTTCTACAAAATGAATCAAATTTTGCATCCGAAGGCAATTGCTTAATATCTAAATGCGGAATTAAAATGAGTCTACGCAAACTGGTATCTCACCTGTTAAGTTAATGTTTTCGCTCGGACTTCATCCTGTGTTAATCTCCGATAAATTAACCAAAAATTACCGTAGAACAAAGTTGTTCAAAAAATTAGTACTCCCCCAAAATCAACATTGCTTGTCCTAGGGGTCTCAAATTTTGACATGTAAGAGAAGGTGGAATTAGGGTCTTCCTTTCACACTATCAGCACCCTCACCTCAGTGGAAGCGCGTGAATTTTGTCCCGTGTGGGGTAAATTCAAAACTTTTTGTTCAAAATGTCATATTTGAAGTTCGATCTCACACCGAATTACTCAACTTAATTTATTTTCGTTTCACTTACTGAGTGTGCCACGTCACGTGGCTTGTTATTTTTGGTGGTAGAAGCGCTCTTTTGTATTAAGTCAAAGAAAAATTGGATAATTAAAGTTTCTAAAAAGTCACGACAAAATGGCGATGCATGCATGCCTTTTGTTTATATGGAATTCACACAGAAATGGCTTCAAATGAAAACTCAATTCAAAATGTCTTAAATATATACTTTTACATTCCCTGGATGATAAGTTAAAATATGGGGGAATTTGTCCTCGGGGGATTTAATCCTATGGGGGATTTTATCCTGGGGGATTTTGTCCTAGGTGATTATATCCTGGAAGATTTAGTCCTCGACCTATCTATTTGTCATTTGCTTTGCATCATTTCCATTAACGCAATGGGCTTATTCCATTGATCAGCTGGCAAAAAACGAACATAGTCTGGACAAGTTTTGAATTACGAAAAGCATAACACTATATTACTTCTTGATAACAAAACTCGTGCCAGACATTGTGTGGCGAACGAACTAAAACACATTATCAGTTCAAAACATCCCAGAAGAGAACAATTTTCTGTTGAGGCATGCTCTCTTGCTCTGTTCTGATCAGTCCAGTGTGGTTGGTTCCTCATCCTATCGGGACTTGCCCTGTTGCTTGGGCTTCTGTGGGTTCTTGATCTTCTGTTGGTTCTTGGCGGGTTTGGGTGCGGCTGCCTTCACCTGTGCCTTCTCTGCCTTTTTCTTCTCAGACACTTCTCGTTTCTTGGCCTTGACAGCTCGAATGGCTGCCTCCTGCTTCGCTTTTCTGACCTACAAAAACGGATTTACTGTAAGCAACCATGGCGGAATTAGAGTGAGCGAAGGCAGGAACACGGGATTTTTAGTTCAGCAGAACCTTTCAAACGGATCCGTACACTGAACTTCAGGCAGATTTTCTCAAGTATTTGCCAATGTAAGCGCCTGAATTCATCTCCGTCGGCAAAAAATTGAGCTATCCGACTTTTGAAAATCGGCCACCCGCCATAATATATGGCAAGCCTGAGGGCAGTGGCGGATTAAGGAGGGGGGGGGCGAAAAACAACTCACAGGATTGGGGCGGTCTAGTAATTTTCCACTTAGATGATTTATTGACTTGCCTCTGGCTTTTCATTCTTTTTCTTGAGGAGTTCATCCATAGTTATGCCGGCAATACCTCTAGTGAGCACAGAAGATTTCACAACTATCTTCTTGGCCTTCTTCGTGTCCTTCTGCTGCTTCTCCCTCTTCCTCCTGTACACTGCACCCCATCGGAACAATCGGGGATTCCTTTTCAGTTTGAAGTGTGTCTCGCACTTCTTGTTCAGGAAGTAGGCTATTTTACCGTCTGTCCTCGCGTATTTCTTCCCTTTACCAGCTGGAATTTTCAACAGACTAAATGTGCACGCCTCCTGCTTCACCATTTTGCTCTGAAAAATTTTAACTCATTAAAATTGGAAACATGGGATATAATTGCATCGAACAAGCTATGAATAATTGAGCACCCCTCTTAGAATCTACTCTGGTTGACAAGGGAGTACCTTATCCGGAATTTAGCTACCAGAGGCGCAACAGCAGAAGGTCAATTCCTTAGCCCAAAAAAAAAACAAGATAACGAGGTTCACGCCAAGGTAGCCCATAATGCTACGACCAAAATTGTAGTACACTATCTGTCTGCTCATTATTATATTTCTTTCATTTTTCTTGTTGAAACTTACTTATTATATTTTCGTTTTAGAAAATCCAATTTACACAGGGGCGAAGTGGCACTTCGCATACCTGAGCAAAAATATGACCGATAACGCTACTAGGAAAAACTGAATGAGTAAAACTTTTAGTCTACAAAATTGAGTCTCCTTCCATACCTCTACGCTACAGATCCATGATACCTTGAAGCTAAAGGGCTATTTGTAAAATAATAGTCTGTGTTAAAATACTAAGCATTGTCTGTACTTAATAGCTGGTTATTGATCAAAATGAACACAATATTTAGGGTTGGAAAAAAAAGAGTTCAAATGATCACACTAGCTTTGCTTGTGAAAAACGTAAATAATTAACGTCAAAAAACCCTTACCAACATCTCCTTGCTATACAATTCGAGCTAGTTTCAGATTTTAGGTGTCCTTTGGGCGATTGTCTTTAGAGATCCAGTGTAAATATAATTCTGAAAGCTCAGTTCAAAGCAAAACCACCAAATAAAAAGTGAAAATGCAAAAATAAATAAGATTTGTAGCAAAATTTCCCCCTAAATTTAGAAACACTCTACATAGGAGAACATTAAGTCAATTAGTAGCACTCAATAAAATTACTGCTTACTTGAAACATGTCTAAAAAGGAACATTATAAGGTCTATAAATTTTTTAAAGTGACGAACGCCAATTATGAGTCTATATAATTGCTAAGTGACGCAAGCCAATTATGACGCATTAGCAAAAACAGTCAATTTGAAAAAAAAAGAAAATTACCAACTAACATGCCTCAATTTATAGAGCGGACGCATTTGAACTAGTATACAAAAAATTTCATTAAAACATCCTACCCTGCCAGGCTGAGAAATCTCTTATTTTCTTGCTGGTCTCCTTCCCTACCTCTACGGCTATGGATGCATGATACCTTGAAGCTAAAGAGCTAATTGTAATATAATCGTATGTGTTAATATCCTTAGCATTGGCTGTACTTAATAGCTGGTTATTGATCAAAATGAACACTTTCAAAATAAACACATTTTGTCGAAACAATCTTTGCGTCGCAACAATATTTGCGACTTAGGTTGGAAAAAAATAGTTCATACTATAACACGAGCTTTGCTTGTGTAATAAAGAGGCATGGCTTTATTCTTCCAGTCGGATTCTTATCACGTTTTTGAAATGTAATCAGATTTCCATTGTCGCGTGAATTTTTTATTTTCACTTTTGAGCCGAAAACACGCCGATGGTTGTCAAAAAATTGTTGTCAGAAAATATTAACTTTGCAAAACAACCCACAAATGGGAGCAAAAAATTGTCATCATTAGAAACTTTCGGAATGCCACACGGGCATTTCCGAATGCTAGAAAGCAGTCGAGCCTTCAAAAAAAACCCTTTCTAAGGAAACTAAGCCAAAAAAAACAAGCAGACAGGCGATAGCAAAAAAAACACTGATTCCGACTGGAGTCGAACTCCCGGGTTTTGTCATCTCAAGCATGGGTTTTTCCATTGCATCAAAACTCCTTGATTTTCGCATTATACACAGAGGCTAAGCTTCGCTTCGCAAACACTAGCGAGAATACAAAAAAGCAGCTCTATAAAGTGCATAGGAAAAAAAGAAATAAGTCTCGAATTAGTAAAACTTCGGCTACCTCTCGGAACGGATCTGCAGCCTGGAAAAAAAGAGTCTCACGCAGTAACCACCCAGCCTTGGACGCTTAAAAAAACAAACACTAGCCACAAATAAAGAAGAGAACAGACGCTATAAAACTTCCAATTCTACAGATCGTGATTATAGCAAAAGTTCCACCAAATTAAAGAACACTTTTACTTGCTAGTTAGGGTGGAAAAAAAGAAGGTTCATACCAATACACTATGCTCGCAAGCCCGATTGCGTAGATAAATCAAGTAGAACACGTTGAATATTTTCACCAGCGAATTCTGTGAACAGTCATTTACCCGGTTGCAACACCCTTGCTTGTCGAAAAAGAAACTTTTACTTAACGGTACTTTAATTGTTCCAACTGAAAAGTAACTATAGCGAAGGTGTGTTTTTGTTCCAGCCAATTTTGACTACCTCCGAGAAAACTTGTACGGGGCTAGTGTGTATCATATTAAAGCCCTTTGAGCCGTGAATTGGAAAAAAATCACAAAAAACTTCATGTTTCGAAAACTACAAGGATTTGTGCCGTCATAGTTGGAGGCAAAGCTCGCAACTCCTGGAAGTACAATTTAATAGCCTCAATATGGAGATAAAAGCTAGTCCAAGCATAGTGTGTTGGAAGACAGAGATCTGCCAGTGGACAACGCCATTCACGAGTCCAGAAGCTACCAGACTGAGAATCCCAGAGACAGAGACAAGTGAGATTTAGAGGCAAGATTCGCAATCCCTGAGAGTACCCTGACAGCACCCAAGTACAGGGTTGAGAATATCAAATTTTGTGAAATTTTTAAATTCAAGTTTTCTAGATATTCTTGAAAAATCTCGAAATTTGCCGTATCTCGTCAACTAAAAGGATTTGGTTATTTATATATGGAGGCTAAGTTCGCAACCGCTGGGGTATCCTTTTAGCATCCCACCATTGGGTTACTAGTTTCAAATTTAATGAAATAATCCTTGACATCAAACTGGAAAAACGAAAAAAATTCTGAACCATTGCAATGTACGACATAGCTTAAACGTTAATAAGTTCTTTCGTTAAACATGCAAAAATATTTCGTTGAAAACGCTTAAGCATTGCGAGATAGTGAAGCCAGCACTTAAATATATAATAGATGATAGATTATATAACTTAATTTATTAACTTCCAAAATTCATCAAAACTACAATTTTAACGTTATTTAGCCCTTCAATTTAGCGTATTTTCAGAAAAACACAACTAGCAATATAGACTAAAAAGCTATACATTAAAAAAAACAATATTTTTTAATTAAATATATTCTTCATTGTTCGTTAATTTCTTAAATCAGTGTGATCCGAGCTTTCTGTGCTATTTATTCAGCAACCGACTATCCTTGATTCATTATGAAACAAAAAAAATGCGAACTCTACAGATTTTTTTTGGTTTACTGCAGGCTTGACTTTTTTGCAGCAGCTTATTCAAAATAATTTTTTTTCTTCCAAATTAAGTTTCTGTCTGTCTTTTGTTTCAGTGTCCTCGAGGCTGTGAGCGAAATAACAAGAATGGCAGTTGTGTGCGACTTCAGGTGAGAAAATGTTTTGGTGTTTTTTCTTAGCCAAATTTAATAGCCTCAAGTACAATTTAATAGCCTCAATATGGAGATAAAAGCTTCAAATTTTGTAAAAAATTTTTATGACTAAGTTCTTTGAACAGTTAAAAACAAGACATAATAAACGCCACATCTCGGAAACTAAGAGCATTTGAGCAGTCATATTTGGACGCAAGATTTGCAACTTGCAGCTCGGGACAGCACCCTAGCAGTACGAAACTACAAGGTTGAGAAATTCAAATTTTTCAAAATTCAAGTTTTCTGAAAAATTAAAAAGAAATCATAAAACACGTCATATCTCAAAAACTAAAGCATTTGAGCAGTCATAATCAGAGGCAAGATTCGCAACCCCTGAGGGTACCCTCAAAACTTCCGACTACAGGATGCAGATGTTCAAAATTTGAATAATTTCAAATTTAAGTTTTTACAAAATTTTTGAAAAAATTATAAAAAAACTTTATATCTCGAAAACTAAAAGGTTTTGAGAAGTGAGATTTAGAGGCAAGATTCGCAATCCCTGAGAGTTCCCTGACAGCACCCAAGTACAGGGTTGAGAATATCAAATTTTGTGAAATTTTTCAAATTCAAGTTTTCTAGATATTCTTGAAAAATCTCGAAGTTTGCCGTATCTCGTCAACTAAAAGGATTTGGTTATTTATATATGGAGGCCAAGTTCGCAACCGCTGGGGTATCCTTTTAGCATCCCACCATTGGGTTAATAGTTTCAAATTTAATGAAATAATCCTTGACATCAAACTGGAAAAACGAAAAAAATTCTGAACCATTGCAATGTACGACATAGCTTAAACGTTAATAAGTTCTTTCGTTAAACATGCAAAAATATTTCGTTGAAAACGCTTAAGCATTGCGAGATAGTGAAGCCAGCACTTAAATATATAATAGATGATAGATTATATAACTTAATTTATTAACTTCCAAAATTCATCAAAACTACAATTTTAACGTTATTTAGCCCTTCAATTTAGCGTATTTTCAGAAAAACACAACTAGCAATATAGACTAAAAAGCTATACATTAAAAAATATATATTTTTTAATTAAATATATTCTTCATTGTTCGTTAATTTCTTAAATCAGTGTGATCCGAGCTTTCTGTGCTATTTATTCAGTAACTGACTATCCTTGATTCATTATGAAACAAAAAAAATGCAAACTCTACAGATTTTTTTTGGTTTACTGCAGGCTTGACTTTTTTGCAGCAGCTTATTCAAAATAATTTTTTTTCTTCCAAATTAAGTTTCTGTCTGTCTTTTGTTTCAGTGTCCTCGAGGCTGTGAGCGAAATAACAAGAATGGCAGTTGTGTGCGACTTCAGGTGAGAAAATGTTTTGGTGTTTTTTCTTAGCCAAAAATTAACAGGTGAGCTGCTTTAGACGAAAAATTTTCTTATTATAACCCAAAAACTTTCTACAGTAAGTCTTATGTAGAAACACAAAATTATTGTCTATTTGTTTTCTATCAAAACAACATTTCAGCTGTTTCTTAGGGCACGTGTGACGACTTCGACAAAGAGCAGGATGCTGTGCTGACTGCCTCTCGCTACTGGTACATCATCCTTGCAGTGGGAGTGTTTCTAGTCTGTTTACTGTTCTTAATCTACTTGATCGACTACGTCTGCGAAAAACGAAGGGAGAAAAAAGCGGCCAAAGTAGTCCGGGTGCCTCGAAAGTCCAGAATGGTGGCTAATACCAAACGCAAGTCCAAGCATAGTGTGTTGGAAGACAGAGATCTGCCAGTGGACAACGCCATTCACGAGTCCAGAAGCTACCAGACTGAGAATCCCAGAGACAGAGACAAGTGAGATTTAGAGGCAAGATTCGCAATCCCTGAGAGTACCCTGACAGCACCCAAGTACAGGGTTGAGAATATCAAATTTTGTGAAATTTTTAAATTCAAGTTTTCTAGATATTCTTGAAAAATCTCGAAATTTGCCGTATCTCGTCAACTAAAAGGATTTGGTTATTTATATATGGAGGCTAAGTTCGCAACCGCTGGGGTATCCTTTTAGCATCCCACCATTGGGTTACTAGTTTCAAATTTAATGAAATAATCCTTGACATCAAACTGGAAAAACGAAAAAAATTCTGAACCATTGCAATGTACGACATAGCTTAAACGTTAATAAGTTCTTTCGTTAAACATGCAAAAATATTTCGTTGAAAACGCTTAAGCATTGCGAGATAGTGAAGCCAGCACTTAAATATATAATAGATGATAGATTATATAACTTAATTTATTAACTTCCAAAATTCATCAAAACTACAATTTTAACGTTATTTAGCCCTTCAATTTAGCGTATTTTCAGAAAAACACAACTAGCAATATAGACTAAAAAGCTATACATTAAAAAAAACAATATTTTTTAATTAAATATATTCTTCATTGTTCGTTAATTTCTTAAATCAGTGTGATCCGAGCTTTCTGTGCTATTTATTCAGTAACCGACTATCCTTGATTCATTATGAAACAAAAAAAATGCGAACTCTACAGATTTTTTTTGGTTTACTGCAGGCTTGACTTTTTTGCAGCAGCTTATTCAAAATAATTTTTTTTCTTCCAAATTAAGTTTCTGTCTGTCTTTTGTTTCAGTGTCCTCGAGGCTGTGAGCGAAATAACAAGAATGGCAGTTGTGTGCGACTCCAGGTGAGAAAATGTTTTGGTGTTTTTTCTTAGCCAAATTTAATAGCCTCAAGTACAATTTAATAGCCTCAATATGGAGATAAAAGCTTCAAATTTTGTAAAAAATTTTTATGACTAAGTTCTTTGAACAGTTAAAAACAAGACATAATAAACGCCACATCTCGGAAACTAAGAGCATTTGAGCAGTCATATTTGGACGCAAGATTTGCAACTTGCAGCTCGGGACAGCACCCTAGCAGTACGAAACTACAAGGTTGAGAAATTCACATTTTTCAAAATTCAAGTTTTCTGAAAAATTAAAAAGAAATCATAAAACACGTCATATCTCAAAAACTAGAGGATTTGAGCAGTCATAATCAGAGGCAAGATTCGCAACCCCTGAAGGTACCCTAAAAACTTCCGACTACAGGATGCAGATGTTCAAAATTTTTGAATAATTTCAAATTTAAGTTTTTTGAAAATTTTTGAAAAAATTATAAAAAAAACTTTATATCTCGAAAACTAAAAGGTTTTGAGAAGTGAGATTTAGAGGCAAGATTCGCAATCCCTGAGAGTTCCCTGACAGCACCCAAGTACAGGGTTGAGAATATCAAATTTAAATTTTTCAAATTCAAGTTTTCTAGATATTCTTGAAAAATCTCGAAATTTGCCGTATCTCGTCAACTAAAAGGATTTGGTTATTTATATATGGAGGCTAAGTTCGCAACCGCTGGGGTATCCTTTTAGCATCCCACCATTGGGTTACTAGTTTCAAATTTAATGAAATAATCCTTGACATCAAACTGGAAAAACGAAAAAAATTCTGAACCATTGCAATGTACGACATAGCTTAAACGTTAATAAGTTCTTTCGTTAAACATGCAAAAATATTTCGTTGAAAACGCTTAAGCATTGCGAGATAGTGAAGCCAGCACTTAAGTATATAATAGATGATAGATTATATAACTTAATTTATTAACTTCCAAAATTCATCAAAACTACAATTTTAACGTTATTTAGCCCTTCAATTTAGCGTATTTTCAGAAAAACACAACTAGCAATATAGACTAAAAAGCTATACATTAAAAAAAAAAAAATTTTTTTAATTAAATATATTCTTCATTGTTCGTTAATTTCTTAAATCAGTGTGATCCGAGCTTTCTGTGCTATTTATTCAGTAACCGACTATCCTTGATTCATTATGAAACAAAAAAAATGCGAACTCTACAGATTTTTTTTGGTTTACTGCAGGCTTGACTTTTTTGCAGCAGCTTATTCAAAATAATTTTTTTTCTTCCAAATTAAGTTTCTGTCTGTCTTTTGTTTCAGTGTCCTCGAGGCTGTGAGCGAAATAACAAGAATGGCAGTTGTGTGCGACTTCAGGTGAGAAAATGTTTTGGTGTTTTTTCTTAGCCAAAAATTAACAGGTGAGCTGCTTTAGACGAAAAATTTTCTTATTATAACCCAAAAACTTTCTACAGTAAGTCTTATGTAGAAACACAAAATTATTGTCTATTTGTTTTCTATCAAAACAACATTTCAGCTGTTTCTTAGGGCACGTGTGACGACTTCGACAAAGAGCAGGATGCTGTGCTGACTGCCTCTCGCTACTGGTACATCATCCTTGCAGTGGGAGTGTTTCTAGTCTGTTTACTGTTCTTAATCTACTTGATCGACTACGTCTGCGAAAAACGAAGGGAGAAAAAAGCGGCCAAAGTAGTCCGGGTGCCTCGAAAGTCCAGAATGGTGGCTAATACCAAACGCAAGTCCAAGCATAGTGTGTTGGAAGACAGAGATCTGCCAGTGGACAACGCCATTCACGAGTCCAGAAGCTACCAGACTGAGAATCCCAGAGACAGCGACAAGTTGAAGCCCAACGTGCCAGAAGAAGATCTTCAGTCAAACTCGGAGCTGAACCCCACCATTCTGCACATCAACTACGACCGATCAACAAAACAGACTTCTGAATCTCAAATTTAGGACTTTGAACTCACTACATCTCAACCGAGAGGATTTGAAAAGTGAAATTCCCTCCACGAAAATATTTCAGGGAAATGCTTCGTTTTCATTGCAAAAATCAAAAACGGGAAACCGCAAGATAATATCCAATGCTTTCTTGTTTGGCATCAGTTATGAAAGCTTTCAAGTACTCGTACAGTTATACTAACTATTTCATGAACAGAAGGTAAACGATTTGATGCACTGACTTAAAGCTACGTATTACAAAATAACCACAGATAATAAAATGATTTCAAATTAACCACAACGCTGCTTTTTTGTAAAATGAATCAAATAGAATTGGGTGCAAGCTTTCTGAATGGCATAGAGATGAGTTAACGCAAACTGATTACCAAAAGATTGCGAAATAAGGTACACATTGATCAATAAGTTTTCACTTGTAGGCAATTTTTCGTTACCATACAAATTAAAAACCTAACGTAATACACTAATACTTCATAAAGATTTTTCAATCTAAACCTATTAAAACGCATCACGTTTTTGAGAATTCAAAAATATTTACATCTAAAAATAAATCTAAAATTCATCGAAAACATCTTAAAACATTTTACTACATTTGATCGAGGAACGTATGACCAGTTTCTATCTACAGTAGGTTCCAATTTCATGAAATTTGAGTAACACATCTGATTTATTTTCACTGTTTACAACACAGAGTGCCTCATTAACAACTTCTGAGAAGTTAAGAAAATCAGAGGAAAGGCATTCTAAAAGAGTATTACAATCAGCTAAAGCAGCGTGTGCTTCAGACGGAGATGTCGAGAACATTCTTTTGTAGATGTTTTCTAACTTGAAGTGACCGGAGGGATATGTTTTTCTTCCCATACTACTTTTCGTGGGAGTTACAGGCCTGCTTTGTGACTCACTGCCTGTTTTCTCTTCTGCACAGCTGCTGCTCTCTGAAGTGTCAGAATTCAATAGAGTGTGATCTTTGATCTCTAAAAGAGCAGAGGTAGAACAGAGACATTCGTTTGTTACGATCGCGCCATTTGATGTGATATAGGCTGAGTTTTGACACATTTTGCAAACAGAAGCCTGCTCATCTTTTCTATGTTCAGCCTCGGGACTCTTTTTGGGCGAGTCAAGGCCAATTCGCTTCATTTTTGTGCTGGGCGACTCGTCTTAAAAGTTACAGAGAATATATAATACATAATACTGCAAATTGTCCTGTTTAGCGACATATGTCAAACTTGCAACTTCCAAGCTTGATTGAAAATGAACTATTTGCATCAAACAGAGAATAGAAAAAAAATAAAAACAGTTACCTGTGGCTCTAAAAGAAAACAAATAGATTAAGTTATTCAAGTTTCAATACCCTTACCAAAAAAAACTAAACAATAATTTGGGAAAAATGATAAACTGAAAAATGAGTTTTATTCATTGTGAAACAAAATTAGCTGCCAACTCACCAATTTGAGGCGGCTCCCGCTTCTGCAAAGTTTCGCAACGGAAATATATAAGAGAGTCGCACAAATAAACTCCATCTTGCTCTAAGAACTCGTATAATAAAGGTACGCCAAGCGACGTAACTTTGTCCAAAGTCTTTCTAATTATCGGAAAATCGAAATTAAACCCATTATGAGCAACACAGATTATTGGTTTCGGTAACATTCGGAAAAAAGTGTCCAACAACCTCAAAGTATGGCAACCAAAATTACTAAAACCATTGAGATTTATCTTGTTAAGGCCAGTAATTTTTTCAGCAGCAGGTTCAAAATCTCGTTGCGGATCTAAACAAATCACTAATTTGTTTCCTACACGTCGCACAGCATTAATATCACTAAGTAAATCAAAAGGGATTGCAATAATTGCGATTTCTGATATTTCTGGATCCAGAAAACCTGTAGTTTCCAAGTCAATTGCTACAATTGTTTGGAATATTTGGAAAGATGAACTCATAGTCATCTAAAATCAAGAATCAGCCTCAGGATCAGAGAAATTAACCGAGCAGATAATTAGGCGTGTCATTAGCCTTTATATCCTGAAAAAAAACGAAGCAATTTCGATGCAACCAGAGCGCAAATTAAGAAGAAAGTGAAACGTGCCGCTAGAAAATTATGAATAGAGAACAACTGTTGAAGCGGTTTCGCGAGAAATAGGAGTTGATTATTTTTGAATAGGGCCTGACTTATTTATTGTTTCTCGAGAAATTAAAACTACCAAATTGGCAAAACTCGACAGAACTCAGACGGATTGTGGAGTGACTTCACGATGATTTAGGGAAATGAGAGGAATTAGTCATTGAGCGGTAGTCCAGCTAGCTGGTAGTTGGACTATTGTTCAATTAATAACTACTACAATTAATTTCCAAAGCACTTTACTTTCACTTAAACTCTTATCTTACATATCAACCTCAAATTAAAATCATTTTTCTGAAAATGGCTCAGTGAAACTAAACTAATAAAACCATTGGACAAATCCCAACATCTTCAATTGCATTATTTCTTTGTTCGGACTTATCCTTTAGATAACGCTGCAGTTTTTGTAACATTAAACAGACTTGTTTAAAAAAAACTGAGAACAGCAACAGATAATTATGTTAGCTTCGCTATGTGAAAACTGTTGAGCATACAATTGGTTGCATTAATAGTGAGGCGTCAAAATCACTGAAAGACATCTAATACATGCAATACAAATCAGATAATCAGCACAACATACATAGTTACTTCCACAGTCTCCCATGCTGATGACGTTGATTATAAGCTTGGTTTCGTTTCTCTTGAATAAGTTTCGGTGGAGGCTTGGCGAAAGCATCAGCAATCATCTCTTGCGTCGCAAGATGTTCAACGCTTACCTCTTTTCGTTGTTTGCGTTGTCGCACAAAGTGATGCGTAACATCAATGTGTTATGGTCCGGTCATGATGTCGAGGATTCTCTACTAAACTGAGCTGCTCTGTGACTTCTAGTCTCAGCTCAAAATTTAACGTGCCTTTGATGTATCTGAATACTCGTTTCAGAGCATTCCAATGTGGAACTCGCGGGTTTGACATGAACTGACTCAAGTTCAAACTGCGTACGACAGATCAGGTCTGGTGGCTGTACTTGCGTACATCAAACAACAATTATCCGATCGCAGCTCGGTATAAGGATGGATTGGAATGCAACTCTCCTTCATCTGGTAGTAACGTAAAATTCGCATCCATTGGGGTACTCAGAGCGTTGCATTCGCTGATCTCGAAACGACTGAAAACTTTTTCTAGATACCTCTTCCGGGAAACACTGATGCTTCGGTTGCATCTGTCACGCTTAACACACATACCTACAAGGTTTGTAGTAGTAGTAGTAGTAGTAGGGCTTTTGTGCTCGTAGCACAAGGGGTTTCCCCCTTTCAGTTTTTCGTTCTATAGTGAAGTTTTGCTTCTACAGTCATTCATTGTGCAATCGCAAGCAATTCTCCATGTGCACTTGTTCATTTGTTCGTAGTCCTTCTCAAATTTTCTCCAAAATAACCACAATATTCGCTTCTTCAGTCTGCTTGTTTCTCTCACGTCAATTTTGATCACATTCGCTAGCCGACATGTTTGGTAAAGGAATTCGTCCTCCAAAAATTTCTTTTTCGGCCTCTCGAGCTGAAACATACAACCGCGCGAGGAACAGGAATACGATGGAACTTTCAACATGTCAACATCATAATTTTTCGATAAAATTTTTGACAGCAACAAAAGGTTGTTGATCTGTATATACATTGGCAGTGGCAATAGTGAAATTTCGATTAACCGATCTTTGTACGAATCCATATGCGGAATTATCCATTTAACTATACGCCTTTGTACATTTTCAAGCTCCGTAATAATGTATTTACTTAATCCATAACATGGACTTGCGTACGTGAGTATTGGTACGATCATAGATTTATACAAATCCAGTTTAGCTTTTTGTCCAAGATTCGATACGCTTCTTTTTATCATGTGAAAAACACGAATTGCTTTGCAGCAAACCTTATTTATATGCAAATTCCATTTTAAGTCACAGGAAAGCATGAGCCCCAAATCAGATTGAGTTTCCTCTGTTTTAATCAATTCGTTTCCAAAAAGCAATCGTTTTTCGTTTTTGGACATTTTAATTAGGCAGCATTTATCCATATTGAAGGGCATGTTGTTTCTAACGGTCCAGTCATACAACGCATTTAAATCACTTTGAATATCTATTGTGCTTAAACCCACGCTGAGAAATTTGGCGTCATCGGCAAAAAGTAGGGGAAACAATTGATCGCACATTTTCGGGAGGTCGTTAACAAAAACCAGAAAAAGTATGGGGCCCAAAATACTCCCTTGCGGGACACCGCTAGTAACTTGTACTGGTGACGAGTTTACTCCATTAATACGCACGACTTGTACTCGATTTGTCAAGTATGATTCGATTAGTTTCAGTAGCTTGTTTCTGATGCCCGTTTCAAAAAGTTTTTTCAAAAGCATACCATGATCCACTCTGTCAAAAGCTTTACTGTAGTCAGTAAAGATTATGTCAACATCATGTTGACTTTCAATGCCCTGGTACACTTTTTGCAAAAAGATTATCAATTGGAGAATCGTTGATCGTCTTTTCCTAAAGCCGAACTGAGCTGCGTGAAAAAAAGAATGGTAATGATCGTAAAGTCGTCTAAAAATAATCCTTTCTAAAATTTTCGAAGCTATTGATAACAGAGATACCGGTCTGTAATTTGTAACTTGGCATTTATCGCCTTTTTTAAATAATGGACTTATAATTGCTTGTTTCCAATCGTTTGGAAAAATGGCTGTTTGGAAAATTTTTCTGAATAACTGTGAAAGAGAATGAGAAAGAGTAATGCACAATTTTTTATACACTATTGGTGGAATTTCATCGGGTCCTTTACTCTTGTTTATGTCCAAGTTCATGCAAATTTCAATTACTTCCTTTTCGAAAAAATTTACAGTGGTAATCGATTTTACGCATTCTTTTCCATTACACCCTTCAATAAATTTTGTCGATTTTGTATACACGGAAGAGAAGAAGATAGAAAATAGTTCTGATTTACCCTTGTCTGTCTCCTCCGAGACAGACTCGTAAAACATTTTCCGCGGGAGATTTGACTTCCTAAATGCTTTGAAATACTTGAACAATTTTGACGATGCTCGTTCTGCAGCCAGCTCTTGTTCGTATTCAACTTTGTCAGTTTCTGCACTGGTATCAACTAAATCAGCTAATGCTATGACCTTGTCATGAAATTCTGGAAAATTCTTCCGCGCAGTTTTAAGGCACTTAATGTAATGCGATGTTTTTTGCGTAATCCACGGTGGTAGCGACAATCTGTGCGCTGTTCTCCTTGGTACATTCTGAGATATTGCTGTATTGAGCCAGCTATACCATAATTCCAGAACTTTATTAGGATTCGACCAACAGAAAGGTTCGAATTTCGTTTTATTCAACGTTTCTCGTAGTTTTCCAAAATCGCCTTTACAGTAGCTATAAATCAAATCTTTGCAGCAATTTCGCTGCAACAAGGACGATATTTCAACGTTAAACTTAACTTTGATAGGGAAATGATTCGAGAGTTTGCTAAAATAGTTATCCCTTTGAATGTCTTCAATATTCACTATCTGTATGTTTTTTCCCACTAAAATCAAATCTAGAATACCAGTTGCAGCAGTTTGGAACGAGATTTTTTGTTGCAAACAATATCGATCAATTATATCAAGAAAAATATTTTCTTGCTCAACAGCAGATGAAAGACTCGTCCAGTTTATTGTTGGGAAATTGAAATCCCCGTATATTATTACTTCATCAAAATTATTTTTGATTTTTTGCAAACATTTAAACAAGTTTTCAATATCAGCGTTCGTGTAAGCGTAAGTACTGTTTGAGGGTGGTAAATAACAGCAAACAATAAGTATTTTCTTTTTGCATAAACAAATCAGGCATGCAGTTACTGAACCATTATCTTCAAAATTCAATTTAATTTGCTCAGAGTTGATTTCATTTTTCACGCAAATCATAGTCCCACCGTGTGCTGTTGTTCCGGATTTTGCTTTTCTATTCGATAAAAAACATTGATATTGAGGTATAAAAAGTTCGCCTTCTGCAATATCGTCTGTGAGCCATGTTTCTGATATACATACAATATCAACAGCATTTACTAGCAGAAAATTCGAAAAAATTCTCCTTCGATCCGATTTATATAAACTTCTAATGTTATAACACAACATGCTTAGTTCACCAGTTGAATTTTCTAGTCACTCATCAATTACTACTGCTTGGTTATTTAAATACAAAATTCCATTTTTGATATGAATGTTCTTTGGATCATGTTGGTTTGTATCTAATAACTCTCTTCTTTTTTTCAGAAGTGTTCACTCTTTCATTTGCTCTTCTTTGTTTAAAGATTTTGAAACAAAAACTCGATAGGCCTCATCGTTATATGTTGGTTCGAAAACTTTAAGCATTGGTGCACGTGCTAATATTTTATCAACCGTATAAGTATTTGAGAACTTAACAAGAATTTGCCTTGCTCGAGGATTTTGTGAATTGTATTTGCCAAGCCTACGGAAACCGGATATATCTTCTTTTCCCACACCCAGATAATGTACAACATCAAATAACTGTTTTTCATCGTGTTCAAAAACTTCTTTTCGGTTTGATTTTTAGGGGCATCGCTTATCTCGAAACGACTGAAAACTTTTTCTAGATACCTCTTCCGGGAAACACTGATGCTTCGGTTGCATCTGTCACGCTTAACACACATACCTACAAGGTTTGAAATATCTCTTGACCTACCATCTCGAAAGTTCTGGCTAACTCCTTCTTCTCTGTCTCAATTAGCTTGGTACTGTTTAATACTATGATCAATTCATATACGTAAACAATAACTATGATGAATCCCTCCTTGACGTAGATACACGGCTCTATTTTGCACTGCGAGTAACCACGCTACATTCCAAAAACGCGCGGCTGGCTTTGAGCCGTACAAATTCCTATAAAGCTTGCAAACGCGATTTGGAAACTTTCGGTCAACATAGCCCGGTGGTTGTAAATATCATGTCTAAGATCTCCGCTCAAAAACGTTATCTTGACGTCCATTTGATCAACTTCCAAATTGTGGATTGCTGCTATCGCTAAAATGCTGCAAACCGTTGTTAAGTATGATAATCGTGAAAACTTCTTATCGAAGTCTTCATCATGCTCCTACGAAAACCCTTGTGCAACTAGTCTGACTTAGTACAGATCAATTGTGTTGTCAGGCTTTCGCTAGCCTTTGAACACCCACTTGCAGCCTACTATATTGGAGTTAGGTGGTGGTTCAACAAAGTCCCATGTCTTCATCTTCTGAAGCGACTCAAACTCACATAGTATTGTCAGATCTTTACAAAGCTTCATCAATTAAACTCGGCTCGCGCGGATCACTCCCTGAAGCTTCAACTGAAAAACAGTTGCTTCCGCATTTCACTGGCTTGCGCTGTCTTCTAGCTGGCAAATTTTTATATATTTAGTGTGAAGCTTACTTTAGAGTATTTTCGAAGAAAAAGTCTGAAGGATTCTAGTAACGCTTAGCGTGTAAGGCAACTTAAACCTTGTTTTGTAGATCTTCCTCTCTCTGCCCCAATTGACTATATGCACTGTGTGTTACTGGGAGTCTTCACTTCTTTGCTTGTAACATTCGCCCAAATACTACACAGCGACTGAGCGTAGAAAAAGTACCTATTAACGACTGGCAGGCGTCAGTTACTTTAATCCTACTCGCTTTTCACCGTCTCGACCTTGCCAGTTGATTTTCTGGTCTGTCTAGGGCAAAGTAAAAAGTTACTATTTTTAGGCCATCAGTCAAACGACTTTTGATCAGCTTTCGTTTACATGCGAACACAACCACATAGCTGAGTCTCGGATCCTCAAACTACGTGATTGTCATTAAAAACACGGCTCGAACAACCTATTTTAACATGTTTTTGTGTGACAGTTCTATATTAAATCCATTGGAGATGGATTGACCCTTTCCTCTTTCTAGCTACTCATATTCTAAAATATCAAACTATACCGGTGTTAATTTAAAGTTTCACGACATCAAAGTAGCTATATAGTTAGTTTTATACAGTCCCTTCACATAAACAGTCTCTGGGGGACCAAGCCTCCGCTCCCGTGATATTTCAGCGATAACGCTCTTATCTCTCTTAATTTGCGTCCCGGGAGGGTTCCGTGGAATACTCCTTCCCCACTGAAGCTTCCTTCTCCACTAGTATCCGCTGACAAGTGTCTTATCGTGCGTTGTTGCCACGATAAGAGGCTTCGTATTTTCCGTCTCTTGTACGACTGTCTTTCACAATATCTGTCGTTGTTCTGATTTTCTCAGCTTTTTTGGTCAAAAATGGCCATTTTTCGTATTTCTGAGAAATATCAACTTGAAAGTCGAAATTTTAAAAATAGAAAATTTCAGAATACTTCGACCTTCTTTCAAGCACTTTTTTGCTGTTAAGGCCTTTTCTCTCTGATTCGTGCTTCGTCGGAAGGTTGCGCTGTGGCATCTGGCAGAATGGCACATACTCCCCGGACAGTCCCCATCAATGTCCCTATTGATCGCATAACACCGGGTTATCGTCAAGTAGTTATCCAGTTTTCTGTAATCAATCTTACAAATCGCATAAGAAAATGAAATTTATCTACCCACCTCAACTCACTACGTGTTCACAAATGGCATCGTACTACATCTCACTGCCTTTCAACATTTTCACAAAATTTGCACCATGAGGAGTGCCCTAGATAAAATTTCTTTTCTTCTCCCTCTGCGCCCTCTCAAGTTCCCTCTTCAGGTTAGTGAGGTCAGGATGCGTCTCCTCCGTTTGCTGTGCTCGCATCATAGAAGGTGGCTTGCTCGTGGATTGGGCCGCGGATCTTGCCGGTGGTCGGTAATGGGAACTCTCCCTCGCCGTACTCAGTGTTGTTGCTCAAGCCAGGATTTCTTGCCAGGTCGAATCCTCTCACCCCTTCATCCATATTCCAGGACAACCACCTGGTCTGTTCTTGATTGGATATCCCTTCTGTGGTGTAGCCGACCATCAAGGCAGCTTCTGTCGCGGACTCCCTGCCTTCACCTCGCTCCTCTAACTGCAGGATGGCGTTCAACATCACTGCCATCCTCTCATCTATTTGGGTGTAGTCCAGGTCCCTCAAGCGTCTGTACAATTCATCGAGCGTAGGCCTCTTTAGCGCGGCAGGCATGGATTTCCAAAATCGATCTGCCATTTTTACGATTTCTAGATGATCTCGCGCTCTAACCAACTTGAGTATTACCGTACCAACCAACTTGAGTATTATCGTACCAACCAACTTGAGTATCACCG